TACTTACACTTTAAAAAGGGGGAGGAGACTGAAAGAATGGTTTAAGGTTTAACGAAGAAAACCTGCTCCTGACTAGGGATGCGTTTCCCATACAATGACGTAACTCGCTGATTAACCACGATAGTACGATGCATTGTTGTTGAAATTAACTAGCTAGTTACGATTGTTTCCAGAACACGGTCGAAAAGATGTCTGCATCCTTCCGAGTCAATACATAAGAAAAATGGCATATTTAGTATTTAGTCTTTCAAGTGTATTTTTCTTATTTTGCAAATTATCTGCCATTTGGGGGAAAAAATTATCTTGTTTCCATTTGCATTAAGATTATTTTTCTTGTTTTAAGTAAGATGCTCTTAATTTAGATTCCAACATAGTAAGAAGAGCATTTTTGCAGCATGAATTAATGAATGAAGTATTTAAACGTTACTTACACTTTAAAAAGGGGGAGGAGACTGAAAGAATGGTTTAAGGTTTAACGAAGAAAACCTGCTCCTGACTAGGGATGCGTTTCCCATACAATGACGTAACTCGCTGATTAACCACGATAGTACGATGCATTGTTGTTGAAACAAACTAACTAGTTACGACTGTTTCCCGAACACGGTTGCATGTCCGTCGTTTGAACCACATTAGTTCAACAACATAGGGCCATTGTTAATGACGTCACACGCATGTGGTGGAGGAATAACTTCTGCTATTTAACAGATTAGACATCTCTAAGATGCTGCTGTATTGAACATGGCACCTGATAACTGTCATTTTGCTTTATTTGATGTTTGATTCATCGTGGGTTCCCTCTTACGTCATACAAAAAAAACGTTTGTATGAAAAGACTCTGTTTCCCTTTATGCACATGCGCACTCTTCAAAAACGGCGCTTTTAGAGGATGCGCAAAAATACATAGATTAAAATGCATTTATATTTAAATAGAATGGAGTATATAGATTGTACTGCATGCTAGCTTGCTTATTGTGCCCAAGAGCATATTTATTTAAGCCCATATCCCTTGTTAACAAGAAACTATGCTTCTAACCACAGGTCGAGAGCTGTAGTTCCTACCAAGTAAGTTTGCGACGCTATTTGCGAATTTTCGTTTGAACTATGGTTTCGGGGAACACCGAATCGTTGAACTATGTTGGTAATGACGGAACTTGCGACCATAGTTGGCTAACGATGCTTTTGGGAAACGCAGCCCAGGT